ACATAAACTTAACTTTCCTGTATCATGTGTAAAGACCCAAAATCCGATCTTTATCTTAACCTCAAATCATTAATAAATTTCAACCTTAAAAATTGAAAACTTACATAAAATACTGGATTGAAACAGTTTAAACATAAATCACAGCGGAAGTCCAAAAATTTCTTCTGATCATACAACAATTGCTTAAACCCACACCTGACTACTTTTCGTCAAGACAAGCAACGACTAGACTTCATTTCAAATCTATCCTCTTCACGCGTAGCCTGGCGCTACGCCCTCTCTTTGCCCTTGCTAATATTCCCATAAGTGTGGTAACCTGGTTGCATTTTTTATTTTGAAAAAAACACAAGTTTGGTGAGCCTAAGGCCCAGTGAATAAACTGTTTAGACACAGTTCATAAACTACCGAAAACATGAGGGGGAAAGGACTATATCACACAGCATTGTCTGGCGAACTTCAAACAACATGTTCGCTCTTACGGCTTAACAAGCTTCACACAGCATGCTTGTTTTCAGGATTTAATCCTTGGGACAGTTTCCCCCCAAATTTCCCTCACAACATTTTATCACAGAAAACACGTTCACACAACAAACATATTCGTAAAATACAGCAAGCTTGCAATTTAACAGAAACAAATATGCAACCCTTAAAAAAATCACGTAAACTCACAGTGATTGATAGCTTCGAACGTTCGTCTGATGAATGTCACACACACAACTCTTGAGTATCGATTCTCTGCTTTTGCTTTCTAGCTCTTGAATACCTCTATTTGCTAGTAAGGAACCAATCTCTAGCTCATCACCTCTATATATACTCTTCGTAACCTCCTTACGAATTAATTACCATTTAATTGGTCGGTTACAAGTCAATTAATACCATTTTAAAAACCCATTTTATTCCTTTATAGTGGTTACGATTCTAGGCCATAAATAGTTCTAATGGCCAAAATAAAAAAAATTAAGTAAGATTCTCAAAAACCTCAAATAATATTTTAAGTTATTACAAACTCCCCTCTAACAAAATTTCGTCCTCGAAATTTGCTTTACGTAAATAAATGAGGGTATTTTATTCTCATCTCACTCTTTGTCTCCCACGTTGCCTCTGGTCCCTGATGATGTTTCCATTGGACTTTGACCAGAGGGATTTCTTTATTCCTCAACTTCTTCACCTTTCTATCCAAGAGAGCTTCTGGCCTTTCTACGTAGCTCAGAGTCTGATCCACCTCTATATCTTCTAGAGCTACCTTAGAGCTCTCGTCCGCCAAACACTTTCTTAGAGTTGACACATGAAATGTGCTATGGATGCCTTGAAGCTCTTCAGGCAATTCTAGCTTATATGCAACCTCACCCACACGTGCTGTTATTCGATAATGGCCAATATAACGAGGGCTCAGCTTTCCTCGTTTCCCGAATCTTATTATGCCCTTCCAAGGCGAGACTTTCAACATTACTCTGTCTCCAACTTGAAACTCTATTGGTTTTCGCCTTTTGTCGGCATAGCTCTTTTGTCTATCTTGAGCTATTTTCAGCCTTTCCCGAATCTGCTGAATTTTGTCAGCCATTTTCTGCACAATTTATGGGCCCAAAAGTTGCTTTTCACCTACTTTATTCCAGTACAGGGGTGTTCGACACTTCCTCCCATACAAAGCTTCATATGGTGCGATTTGGATACTCGCATGATAGCTGTTATTATAGGAGAATTCTATTAAGGGAAGATGACTTTCCCATGACCCCGCAAAGTCAATAGCACACGCCCTCAACATGTCTTCCAGTGTTTGGATGGTCCTTTCACTCTGACCATCTGTCTGCGGGTGGTATGTTGTACTAAACTTTATTTGAGAACCCAACTTTCTTTGGAAGCTTCGCCAGAATGTGGATGTAAATCGTATGTCTCTGTCGGAGACTATTGATAATGGAACCCCATGTCGGGTTACAATCTCATCTATGTACAACTTGGCTAATCTGTCCATTGAGTAGGTCTCTCTAATAGGCAGAAAGTGGGCAGACTTGGTGAGTCTGTCCACTATTACCCATATCGCATCAAAACCTCTTGGTGTTCGGGGAAGTTTAGTCACCAAATCCATGGTGATGTGGTCCCACTTCCACATGGGTATCTCCAAAGGTTGAGGTTTACCAAACGGTCGCTAGTGTTCAACCTTCACTTGCAAACAAGTCAAACATCTCTCAACATAGTGAGCTATATCCTTCTTCAACCCCGGCCACCAATACGATTTTTGTAAATCCCGGTACATCTTATTGTTTCCAGGATGGATGGAGTAACGGGATTTATGGGCCTCGTCAAAAACTTGGCTACGAAAATTTCGCAAGCGAGGAACCCAAATTCTACCCTTATAACATTTTAGTCCATTACCATTACTTTCCAGCAATGGACTAGCCCCCACCATCATTTCCTTCCTTATGTTTTCTTCTACCAAGGCCTCCTCTTGGATTTTCTTCAGGTCTTCAATCCAGCTAGTGGTGACCTCCATCCTTAGAGCCTTAACACGTAGTAGAGTACCCCTTTATTTGCGGCTTAGAGCATCAGCCACCACGTTGGCCTTTCCGGGGTGGTATAAGATCTCACAATCATAATCTTTCAACAACTCCAGTCATCTTAATTGTCTCATATTGAGATCTTTCTGATCAAACAAGTACTTGAGACTCTTGTGATCAGTAAAGATCTGGCACTTTACACCATAGAGGTAGTGCCTCCAAAATTTTAGTGCAAATACCACTGCTACCAATTCCAAGTCATGAGTTGGATACCTCATCTCATGCTCTTTCAACTGTCGGGAGGCGTACGCGATGACCTTCCCTTGCTGTATCAACACACAACCTAGGCCCAACTTATAAGCATCGATGTAGACCACAAAACCTTCAGTTCCTGCTAGTAAACTGAGGACTGGTGCAGAGCTCAACTCTTCCTTCAAGAGTTTGAAGGCCTCATCTTGAGTTGTCCCCCATTCGAACTTAGCTCCTTTCTTAGTAAGAGCTGTCAAAGAGGTAGCTATTTTTGAGAAGTCTTGAATAAACCTTCGATAATAACCGGCCAGACACAAGAAGCTTCAAATATCATAAGGGGTCCGGGGTGGATCCCACCTCTGTATTGCCTCTATCTTGGCTGGGTCGACCTTTATTCCCTCTTGGTTCACCACATGACTGAGGAATTGCACCTCTCATAGCCAGAACTCAAACTTGGAGAGTTTTGCGTACAATTTTTCCTGTTTTAGTAGATCTAAAACAGCCCGTAAGTGTTCCTTATGCTCCTCCTTGGTACGTGAATATACAAGAACGTCGTCTATAAAAATGATGTCAAACTTATCCAAGTATGGTTAGCAGACTCTGTTCATCAAGTCCATGAACGCTGCAGGTGCATTAGTCATTCTGAATGGCATCACCAGGAATTCATAATGCCCATACCTCATCCTAAAGGCAATCTTGGATACATCTTCATCCTTTACCCTCAGTTGGTGATACCCCGACCGTAGATCAATCTTCGAGAAGTAACTTGCACCCTGAAGTTGATCAAAGAGGTCATCAATTCTCGGAAGCGGATATCTATTCTTGATAGTCACCTTGTTGAGCTCCCGGTAGTCAATGCACATTCGCATTGTACCATCCTTCTTTTTGACAAACAACACTGGAGCTCCCCAAGGTGATGTACTAGGGCGTATGAAACCCTTGTCCAATAGATCTTGCAACTGAGTCATCAGTTCTTTCATCTCTGATGGTGCAAGTCGGTAAGGTTTGCGGGCAATAGGTGCAGTTCCAGGTACCAGATCAACCTGAAACTCCACCTGTCTTTCTGGCGAAAGACTGGTCAGGTCATCTGGGAAGACTTCTGGGAAGTCTCTTACCACCTTAATATCTTCCATCACACTCTTCTCCTTCTTAGCGTTGATCACATATGCCAGATAGCTTTGGCATCCTTTCTTTATACATCGTTTGGCCTTGAGTAGGGAGATCATGCTAGCCTTCATATCCCTTCTATCTCCATAGATTATTAATCTCCCACTACCCGGTACTTCAATTTGGATTATCTTCTTATTACACAGGATTCTGGCTTGGCTTTCAGCTAACCAGTCCATCCCGATTATTATATCAAACTCCCCAAGTGTCATAGGGAGCAGCTTGAGTGGAATAGAACTACCATCTACCTCTATAATGCAATCATCATATTCTTCCTTAATCACTAACCTGTTGTCATCAGTAGTTTCTACTTCTAATGCCGAACTTAGAGGCTTAGCTACTCTATTCAAGTTGTGGCAGAAAGTAGTGGATACAAATGATTTATTCGCGCCAGAATCGAACAACACTTTTGCATGTACATAATTAACTAGGAAGGTACCTGTTACCACATCCGGGGTTTCCTCCGCCTCGGCTGCAGTCATTTGGAACACCATCCCTTTTGGTCTTGGTGCTTATGGTCATCGTTCCTCTCCTTTCCCACCTCTGCTTCCTACTTGAATGGTCGTAACATCCTTCTTCCTTTGCGGGCAGTCTGCTTGCACATGATTGGGTGACTTGCAGATGTAGCATAATTTCTCTCTTCGTTCCATTCTGCAGTCTTGGGACAAATATCCAGCCTTCCCACATCGGTAGCAGACCCTAGGCTTGACCAAGCATTCTCCTTTATGCACAAGGTTGCATTTAGAACATGGTTTGCCCGATTGTCCTTGCCATGCCTTCTTTTCTGAGTTCCAGCTTTTTGTCTTCCTGTTTCGTTGTTTGAACCCTCCCATTTCCTCTTCAACTGGCCCCGCTCGGATTCTTGGCGGACCATTTCCTTTTCTCTAACTTCGGCTGCATTCACAGCCTCTTGGAAAGTAGTTGGTTTCATGGTGAGGACAAACTCCCTGATGGATGCTTTCAATCCCCACATGAAACTCTTTACCCATCTCTCCTCAGTAGAGACATAATGCTCTGAGAATCTAGCCTTCTCTGTGAAGCTGGTCGTATATTCCCTGACCGTTAAGCTTCCTTGTTCTAACCTCAAGAATTCTTCTTCCAACTGTTTTACAATAGTTCTTGGGCAGAACTTCTCGTTGAACAGCACCTTGAACTCATCCCATGACATCCTTGCTACGTCCTCTTCGCCCCTTAGGTTGGTAATTATTTCCCACCAGAATAGGGCTTCAGACTTCATCATGGAAGCAGCATAAGTCACCTTGTCTTCCTCTGCACATTTGCTAACTTTGAAGACCATCTCTGTCTCCTTTATCCATCTCAGGGCCGTAACTGGGTTTGGCTCACCCTGAAATGGCTGGGGTTTTCAAGCTAAGAAAGTTTTGTAGCTACAACCTCTCTGTCTCGTGCTAGTGTTGACAGGACTATTAGCTCTTGACCTTTCTCTATGGTCCTCTCTATGGTTGATGTTGCTAACCACTTCTCTTACCATGCTAGCTTCCCTAGCCTCTTCATTCCTCTGTTCTGTCTCTCTTACTTGTGCTATAACAGCAAACATAGCAGCTTGCAGAGCTCTGGACACCTCTTGAGCAATAAGGTCCACAGGGGTGGTGGTCGCTGCCCGTGTGCGACCTCGGCCTCTGCCTCTACCCGATGTAGAGTTCTCTTGTACCGAGGGCTCTGGCTTGCTTTGTCTTGTTTGCGATCTTTTTCTGCCTCGTTCTCTACCTCGTCCTCTGCCTCTGGTGCTTGCGGTTCTCGTGGCCGCAACAGAGGCTGGTATCACCTCTGGTACAATAGGGGTAGCCCCGACCAGAGGTGTTTCCTCTGCATCCGGAGCGACCGATAGAGTCCTTCTCGATCGTTGAGACATTCCTTTTTTCTTAACTATATGCGTATAACAGATTATAAATAACTATTCTTATACACAACTTAGCATTCCACAACCATTCAACAAGATTTAAACACCAACACAAGTTCATTTCATTCCATAATCATGTCAATCGGCTCATACTTAACAAGTTTAAGCTAAATACAATAAAACACTGAGATATCCCAGCTCTAGGCTGCCAACTTTTTGCAATAAAACTTAGCCACACACAGTTCATATGCAAACTATTTTCTCCTCATCCTCTTACTCATGACATATCCATAGGGTAGTTTGTGATTCTCAAAAACTCCTCATAAGGGATCTCTGGGTGATGCCTCCATACAGAGCTCAATTTTGGGCCTTGGCGAAACTGCCATGCCCAGCGTGAGAAGTACTCCTTGGTGGAGTCCAAGTAGCCCGTGGCCACCTCACGGCAATAGCGAGCACGATCTTCCAATTGCACCCTCCATGATCGTGAAACAATCCTCCTCTCCCATTCCAGCTCTACAAACTTCCATGCCATGGTGTGGTGGTTTTCCCAGAGTTCATTATTCTTAGTCAAAACTTTGTTCAACTCTTCACCTAACTTCACGTGCTCCCTCTGCACGTTGTTCAACCACCAGTCGGCCTGGTCCTTGGCTTCTTGGGCCACTAACAGCTCTGCCCTTAGTTGGGCGTTCTCTTCTTGCAAAGTCGATATTTTCTCCTTGAGGTCTGTATGATCAGGCGTTCGAGGAGTGTACTCTTCATAGGATCCCTCTATGGGATCATAAGAGGAATCCCCTA